ACGGCATGGCCTGGTACGGTACAGTATGGTATGGCTCAGCATGGCATGGCTTGGTACAGTATGGCAGGACACGGCACGGCTTGGCACAGCTCGGCACGGTGCGGTACAGCACAGCTCAGCTTGGCACGGCTCGGTACAGTACAGTCCGGCTCACCCAAGCCAGCAGGATCAGGGTGCGGGGTGCAAGGTGCATGGTGCAGGGTGTAGGGTGCAGGGCACGCGACTCGGTGCAGGTCATGGGGTGTAGGCAGATGACATGGGGCGCAGGGTGCACAAAATGTGCGTGCGGGGTGAAGGGTGAAGGACACAGGGCGCAGGCTGCAGGATGTGGGTGTCCCCAGGGCGCAGGGCATGTGACAGGGTGCAGCACGCGGTGCCCAGGATGATGGGGTGCAGGGCAGTGCTGGGGGACACCTCCCCACAAGGGATGTGGTTATGGGGCCCACTCCCTGAGAGGTCCGGAGTGGCCACGGCACATGCCACGTCCGCAGCCCAGAGGCATGAAGCACCTGGCTGATGGGTGGCCGTCCCACGGAAGCCATGTGGCATGCGTGGGGCAGGCAGATGTAGGGACATGACGGACTCATGCTGCAGCACGGTTTGGTGAAAGTGCCGGGATGAGGAGCTGGAGTCTCTAGGGAGACAATGTCCCACGGGAATACAGTGTCAGGGGAGGATGTCCTGCAGCCACCAGGAAAGGCTGATGTGGCACAGTGCCGATGGTGGGCTCACGCGCAGGCACCAGCAGGTCCCTCCGGACCCGTGGGGTGGGCAGGACTGTCCTGGCAGAGCAGAACGGACAGCCAGCCTGCCGTGAAAGGTCAGATAGAGCAAATTAAAGCTTTTGTCATGATGAGCTTCCCATTTCCATGATGGAAGGTGCATAAAGCCCTGTCTAAGCTCCATTAACTCATGAGCATAAACTGGGGCCAATCCTGGAGCCATGCTGGCAGGGCTGGGAGAGGGACGGAGCTGGCACATGGGCACTTGTCTATCCCACATGGCCAAAGAGCTGCCCCAGGGCTGGAGACCTCCGGCAAAGACTCTAGGGTGGTGCCTGCAGCACCACGGGAGAGAAATTCCCTCCAATGCCTGTCCTGGAGAACCTGAGCAGGGTCAGCTCCATCTTTGGGGACAGAAACGGGAGAACAGAGTTGGACAGCTGGGAAATGCAGTCCTGCACAGTGCCCTGGGATTTGGGAAGGGGCAGGACAGATACAGGAGATCCAAAGTGTCCGTGCATCTCTGGGATTACTCAAATGCACCATTGCTGGGGCAGGAGCACGTTGCAGGGGGTCGGGAGCACAGCACCAGCCAGCCTCAGCCTCGGCCAGATCTGCACGTTGCCGGAGAGCCGCATGGCTCCAGCCCCCTGGAGCAGCTCTTGGCTGTGACACTGACGTCTGGGTCTGGCTTTCCGCACCAACGAGTGAGATTTGAATGAGACATTTACCCTGTAATCAGCTGGCTTTGGAGCCTGCTTGGGAAGCGACCTTAGAGGGAGGAAAGCCGCGCGTGCTGCTCGCCGCAGCGGGTCTGCACCGGGCCAAGCCAGCTGCCGGCTTTCCTGCGCCGTACACACCTGCCAGCGCCTCCGGATACAGCCAGGGCGGCACCGTCG